ATAATAATGATTATGATCATTGTCCTATTGTTATTATTTTTGTTATTATCATCCATTATTGTTTTTTTTACAGTAGTACTTGTAATAGTAATAATAGCAGTAGTAGTAGCAGAAGCAGAAGTGGTAATAGTAGCATTAATTGTGAGAGCAGTAGCAGTAGTATTAGTAACGGTAGCGTAATAGTTGCAGTAGCAGAAGTAGTGAAGTAGTAGTAGTAGTAGCAGTAATAGTAATAGTAGTAGAAGTAGCAGTAGTAGTGGTAAAATGTAGTAGTAGTAGTAGTAGCGTAATAGTTGCAGGCTGAAGTAGTGTAGTAAGTAGTGTATAGCAGTAAAAGTAATAGTAGTGAAGTAGCAATAGTGTAGTAAAAGTAGTGGTAGTAGTTTAGTAATAGTTGTGGTCGAGTAGTTAGCACCAGTATAAAATCAGTTGATGAAGTAGTAGCGTTAGTGGTAGTACCAGTAGTAGTAGTTGAAGTAGCAGAAGCAATAGTAGCAGTAGTTGTAATAGTAATACCAGCAGTGACAGTAGCAGTAGTAGAAGCACCAGTTGCAGTGGTAGTAGTAGCAGTGATAATAGCAGTAGTTGTTGTAGTGTTAGTAGATGTAGCAGTAGTAGTAGTAGTTCTGTTAGTATTGCAGAAGTAGTACTAGCAGTAGTAGTAGTTATAGTACTAGTAGCAGCAGTAATAATAGTTAAAGTAGCAGTAACAGTGATAGCAGTAGTTGTAGCTGTAGCAGTAGTAGTTGTAGTATTACTAGTAGCAGTGGTAACAGATTTAAAGATTTAGTTTCAATTCCTTTTTGTTACATCATATATTTTTTGCTGTGACATACTGTCTGTTTTATTTTGCTTCCAAATCTCCCCCGTGTGCAAGGAATGGCAAGAGAAGGTGACAAGAAAAAGTAGTAATAGCAGTAGCAGCGATAGTAATAGCAGTAGCAGTGATAGTAGTAGGAGTAGTTGTAGTATAATTGACAGTAGTAGTAGCAATATCTTTAGCAGTAGTAGTTGTTGTTGTAGTTGTACCGGTAGTAACAGTAGCGTTTGTAGCAGTAATTGTAGCAATAGTAGTAGTTGTAGTCGCAGCAGCAGTAGCAGTTTTGGTAACAGTAGTAGTAGCAATTGCAGTAGTAGTAGTAGTAGTAGCGGTAGTGGAAGAAGCAGTAGGAGTAGTAGTAGCAGCATTAATTGCAGAAGCAGAAGTAGTAACAGTAATCACAGAAACAGTAGCAGTTGTAGTAGTAATAGTAGCGGTAGCGGTAGTAGCACCAGTAGTAGCAGTAATAGGTGAAATAGCAGAACCAACAGCAAAAGTAGTACGAGTAGCAGTAGTATTAGCAGTAGTAGTGGCAGCAGTAATAGTAACAGAAGCAGTAGTAGTAGTAGCAATAGCAATAGTAGTAGTTATAGTAATAGTAAATGTAGTAATAGAAGTAGTAGCAGTAGTAGTAGTTGTAGCAGCCGGAGAAGTAACAGTAGTAGTAGTAGCAATAGCAATAGCATGAGTAATAGTAGTAGTAGCAGTACCAGAAGTAGAAGATGTAGCAGTAGTAGCAGTAGTGGTAGAACCAGAAGCAGTAGGTGTAACAATAGTTGGAGTAGCAGTAGTAGTACTTGTAGTAGTAGAAGTAGTTAAAGTGGCAGTGGCAGTAGTAGTAATAATAGTAGTAGCAGTAGTAATAGCAGTAATAGTAGCGGTAGCAGAAGTAGTAAACAGCTGCTAGTAAGTTTCATATTCATTTCAATTTATTTTTTTATTTATTTTTTATTTTTTTGTCAATATTCTTTCTGTTTAAGACACGCCCAATTTCGCAATTTGCAGGCCACACCTATTTCCGTTTTCTATAGAACACACCCATTCTCGCTTACTCTCTCAGCCTTCTTTTTTTCTCTCTGTCTAAGCCACGCCCATCTGCATTTTCGCCAGACACGCCTACTTTCTGTTACGAGGAGCCACACTTACTTAAGACTTCTGAGAGCCTTGCCAACTTTCACCTACTGTCACGTTATCTCTCTCTCTCTCTCTCTCTCTCTCTCTCTCTCTCTCTCTCTCTCTCTCTCTCTCTCTCTCTCTTCTCTCTCTCTCTTCTCTCTCTCTCTCTCTCTCTCTTATATAATTTATTATATATATATATATATATATATATATTATATATACCACACACAACACCACACCACATACCACACAACACACACACACACACACCACACACACACACACACACACACACACACACACACACACACACACACACACACACACACACACACACACACCACACACACACACACACACACACACACACCACACACACACACACACACACAACACACATATATTATATATATATATATATTTATATATATATATATATATATATATATATTATATATATATATATGTATATATTATATATATATATATACACACACACCACACACACACACACACACACCACACACACCACACACACACACACACACACACACACACACA